ATATATATATATATATATATATATATATATATAATTTTATTTTTTAAATCGTTTGGCTTCCTTCTATTAATTTGAGCATATATGTGGAGTTTTAAAGATTTGAACATTTTAATATAGAAATATAATGATTTGAAAACTTTAATTCTTCGTTTTAATTTATAATTTGTTATATATTTGAAAATTACATAAAAAAAGAAGCTCAAAAATGCAATGTAACAATTTAAGATGTTTTTAGAAAAACATAGTTAAAAAACATAATGAAATTTGGTTGACTCCCTTATTTTTATCGAAACAAAAAAAAGTTGTATATATTGTTTGAAAATAATGTAAGAGCTAAAAAGTACTATAAATCACAATAAAATGACAACTTAAAATACGTGAGAATCATATAAGAAATTTTATTTACTTATAATATTTTTTTCAGAACATACATAAAAAATTATATAATTTACATAAATTCCATAGTGTAAAATTTAAATTACTTTCTATCCCTACTTTTTTCTATTTTACAAAAATCCCTTGAATTATATGTCATCCGGGTACATAATTGGTTGTCCGGATACATTAATTGTGATACATTATAAATATGGTTGCGCTTAAAAAGGAAAACAAATCAGAAAATCATATTAAAATTCCATAATTTATGGTATTCAATTCCTCTTTATTATCAATCCCAGAAACTAAATCCTAAAATAACCAATCTATTCAAAATTCAAAATCTCTTTTCATCTTTGCCCCTATTTCAACAAAGAAATTTTCAAGTTGGATTCAAAATTTTTTTGAAAATTTGACAAGATACACGATGAATATTTTGATTTTGACTGACACTCTCGAAGGGAGAAAAAATAGAAAATCGTAGCTTTTGAGTTCTTCGAATTCTACATAAATCTCACTATGATTGACGATCAGGTCTGAATTTCTTTGACAACTTTCTTGATATCTTTATTTTTGTGTTGGTGGTTGCTTGCCAGTGTGATGAAAGATCTCAAATATGAAGGTATTTGAAAGTTGTTATTTTATAATTATCTTGGGCAAAATTAGTTATGCTTCTTTGCCATAACTTCGAGTTTCGAGTTAAAAGATTGATATCAAAAAGTATCCAATACATATTTGTATGCTTTAATCATTGTTTTTTTCATTCATGAATTTGTATATTGACTGATAAGTCATGATACGTTACTGGCTGGAACATGATACATTAAAGTTTTGACGTACATGTTGTGAGTTGATGTGTGTTGTTAATAAAAAGTATCACGTATTTGTATTTTTTTTTATTTTTGAATTTGTATAAGCATATATAAATCGTAATACACTACTGATTTCAACTTGATTCAATTCTAGTTTGATGTGTATGTAATGGATTTTCTAGATGTGAGTCAGGGTGTTGTTACTATAACGTATTAGATACATATAAAGTTTATTTATTTTTATGTATCAAATATCTTAAAACAATAAAAACAAAAAATTCTAAAACTAGAGCTAGTGTATTTCAAAAATAACAACATTTTTAAAAAAAGTGTCAAACTGATAAATAATCTCTATTCAACATTAACCATATCGTCTAGAGATAGTGCTATGAATTGACTCTTGGGTCTTAGTTGTTACTTAATAATAATAAATAGTAATTGATACTTAATATCAAATGATGTTGTATACAATCTGATAGATATTTGCATCTGCTATAAAATGTAACATCATATATTCATAATATGACATTTATGTATCATCTGTTCAACTATTTAAACTATGATACATTATTCTGCAGTTTATACCCATAATATAATTTGAACTTTAGTCTTTCATACATTGAACATAAATATCAATTAATGTACTAAATTCAGGTTTTATTGTAACAAACTGACATTTATTTTAATCTGATACAAAATAATACATGTAGCAAGTATAAAGTATTTTAATTGTGTATCAGATGTAGATACTAACTTTAACTTGATAAAGTGTAAATGTATCGAAAACTTATATATGACACTAATTAAACTTCACATACTCATTATTATGTATCAAGGTTAATTAGTTCCCATTTATTTGAATCTGATACAAAACGATACATATAGCAAGTATAAAGTATTTTAATTGTGTATCAAATGTAGATACTAACTTTAACTTGATAAAGTGTAAATATATCAAAAACTTATATATGACACTAATTAAACTTCACATACTCATTATTATGTATCAGGCTTAATCATAGTATATAATATAAGATTCTACAAATTATAACCTATTCTACAATGGGAACTTTATAACTTCATACATTCATAACACCTGTTCAAAACGAGAATAAAATTAGAATTTAATGTATCTAGATAGTACTTAAACTTATGATACATGACTATGTGAGAACAATACCTTGTCATTATTATATCAGATTTTTGAAACAACTAACAAAAGAAATATCAAACATCTATAAAAAAATTTATATCTAATACTCATTACAACTTGATGAACTAATATTGTTTATCTGGGGTTGACCATCAGTTTTTTCTGACACTCCTGTACCATTGGAAGAATATTCAAGTACACCCACACAAAAAATAAATCAGAAAAATTCACCTTGACAAAAAAATAAGATTAATATTAGGAATTGTAATTATCAGTGGCAGAGAAAATAATTAGAAACGACGTCGTTTTCATAAGCACTAAAATTTTTAATCTCACATGAATTTAATTCGACCAATGTAAGATGAAGAAGATGAAGCTTAAAAAAAATGAAGAATAGTAGAATGGAAAAGATGAAAAGTTGATTTGAAATCAATTGTAATTAGAGAGAGAAACCTTTTGAAATTCAACTTGGGATCAAGGATCAGATTATGGGAGTCAAATAAACGAGAGATTTAAGAAACAAAAATAAAAAGGAAACATGGATTGTTGTGTTAGGAGTAATGTATCTGTTGACTTAAAAATTGAGGAAAAATATGGAATTTTAAAATATTTTAATATAGTAGAAATTAATAGAAATTATGAAAAAAAAGGTGTGTATATAGATAATTTTTTCTAAAAAAATTTAGTACAAAGAAAAAACAAAAACAGGTGCAGGAAAAGAAAAAAAGAAAAGGGTGTAGCAATTTTTGCTAAAAATAAATAAATAAAGATCTATAGCAGTGTAGCAAAACATCATCTTTCTCTTTCAGTCTTCAACTTGTGGCACCACTCTAAGGGTTTCTTTTTCTTTTCTTTTCTTTTTTTTCTTTTTTCTTTTTTTTTCTTCCTTCATTTTTCCTTTCTTGAAAATCATCCCTTTGTATCTCCTGTATATTTACATTAGATTAATTTCATAGAAGATGATGCAACAGAGGCTGAAGCAGCAGCAAGCATTGATGCAGCAATCCCTTTATCATCCTGCTCTTCTTGCACCCCCACAGGTTCCTTTTTTTCTTTATTTGGTTTTGACTTGTTATTATGCCTTTTTGGATTTTACCCATGTTCAAGTTTTGATAAAGCTGGAATCTTTTTGTACTTTTTCATCTCTTGATTGTGGTTTTCTTGAAAATTGAAATTTTGGGTCTTTGTTATTTTTTGTTTCTAATTTGGATCCCCTTTTGAAAAATTTAACCTTTATGTCAAAAATAAAAAAATTGTATATGCGTTAATGATTAGAACATGGTGAAGTCACTGTGGTTGAGTTTGTAGAGTTGTGATTGGAAAGATGGTGCCTTTTTGAGAGGCAACTAGTTGAAATTATTGGACTTGAGTTCAGCTAGTATTAAGAATTAAAAGTTTATAATAATGGTGTTTGATTTTTGAACGGTTTTAGCCTTTATTTAGTTTGTCTGCTTAGAACTCCTATATAGATAGAAAGTATTGAGAATAAGGAATGAACAAATCTTGGTGTCTTCTCTGCTTAGGCATGGTGATATTTTTTATTTTTTTTGAATCCAAGTTATTTGGGTAAGGGAGAGATAAATGGGCTGTGGAATTGGGTCATGGCCACCTCAATCCTCCATTCATTCCCATTTGTACCTTCTAATCAAAAGCTTTTGCGAATTGGGTAGTGGCTGCGGGTTCCATTGTCATAAAAAAGAATGTATTCGTGAATTTTCACAATGCCATAATATACTCCTATATTGACTTGAGCTAGTCTCTATTCAACTTTATTACATGGGATTGAGGAAAACTTAGGGATCCTTTTTCTTTTGTTTTTTTATTGACCTTTTATAGTATTTGTTTACAGATAGAGCCTATCTTGAGTGGAAATTTGCCTCCTGGATTTGATTCAAGTACTTGCCGCAGTGTGTGAGTGCCTCATGGCCATTCTTTTGATTTGAAAACCAGTTTTGTTTTATCTTTCCTTTTTCCTTTTAATTGTTGCCTTTTGCTTGAAAGTGATACTCCCTCCTTTTATCTATCATATCTTGGTACAAAAGCTCATGTAATGCATACTTTTATATGGTTTCTTATTACTTGATCGCTGCATGTTTAGCTGCATGAAACTGCGCTTGATCAAACATGCTTGTCTATATATTTAAAGAGGGCATGATGTTCTGAATTAATCTTTGATAACCCTTCTGGTTTTCAATGTTATCCGAACTAGGTACGTTGGAAACATCCACCCCCAAGTAACGGAACCACTTCTTCAAGAGGTCTTCTCAAGTACTGGCCCCCTTGAGGGATGCAAGCTCATTAAAAAAGAGAAGGTCTGATCTCATTATTATGGTTTATGTTTAACATTTTCTTACCAGACAAGTCTTGGAGTTAATTGAAACATGCCTATCTGAGGATGATTGATTTATGTCGTAGTTCTAACTAGTGTAGCATGTTAACACTTTAATGAAGAAAGTAAATTAAAATCATGAATTTCTCTTGAGTTTTGTTTATGGGAGAAGCTTTTCAGGTGAAGCTGGTTATGCTAATGATTCTGGCTCTGTGCTTTCGGATATGTTTGTTAGGCCATATGCATATCTCGAGGGTGAGGGCATATTGCCTCTTGCCCAATGGAGGGTGCTATTAATTTATGAGATGTATGCCTTAGTAGTTGAGATGCGATTTTGGCTGAATTTCACCAATGTGTTCACCTCACTGGTGCTTGTTTGGACTTTTGGAGGGAGATAGAGAGAGAGAAGTGGCAAGCTAGCATGTTTAGTTTTAACTCATTTAGGGTTATGGATAGTTGTGGTTGAAGTGGTTTCTCTTTGTGATTTTCAAATAGGAAATATTTCTCACTCCGACAATCCATTAACTATTGAAAGGAAACAAAAATAAGTTGCAATTTGAAGTTACCTTTATCTCAAAATAAGTCGCAAATTTCTATTTCCAATTTCTTCACTGTTCAGTCATTGCCCAACTTTTGTTGTTTTCTCCTGTTTTCTTTTCAACTTTATGCATATACTTGTTTGAAATGAATTGTGGTAACCTCCTTGAAAGACATTTGCTTTATTTCTCGAGGCATCGCTCTCACCTTGGAGCACCATGGCTTTGTCTTTAGCCTTAGAAACACTGGCCTTGTTAGTTCTTCAACTCATGAATCAGCCTTCATAAATTTAGAGTGTAGGCATTGTCTGTTTGCTTTAAGTATTTATAGCATTGGTGCCAGTCAAAACTGTGAATCTTCAAAAACGATGAATCACCATTGAGCTTTTGTTGATTGAAGTATAACAAGGTTGTAATGGTAATTCCCACGTAAGTTCTTAACTTTTAACTTGTTAATACCTTGCAGACTTTGGAGTTTATTGTGGCTGCGACATTGCAGCAATTTAATGTGATGAGGATCTATTCATGATTATAATTTAAGCTTTTAAAGCAAAAGTATTTCACATTAAAACTAATCATGCACAATGATAATCTTCACCTTCTGTCACTCCATGATTTTTACAAGTTGGGCTACACTTCTAGAACCTGAGAAAGGGTCAGGAAAGAGGGTTTGGTGTCTACCAAAAGTCTTGTATAGTGCAATATTGATGTTAGTTCCACAGAATATTTTGTGTCTTCACAGTTATAGTCCTGAAATCCTGGATACTTTCTAGATTGATGTTTATGTGTGAGTTTGCCGTTCATCTCAAGTCACATAACTTGTTTGAAACTTCTTGATAGGAGACTAATATATGGTGATTCCTTGCAATGCAGTCGTCGTATGGTTTTGTCGACTACTTTGATCGCCGATCAGCAGCCCTTGCTATTGTGACTCTTAATGGAAGAAATTTGTAAGTGGATTTTCTTGCAATATTCTGGCTTAAGGGTTCAGCATTTACTCTGTGGTAAGCCTTACTGGTAAAATGCAGGTTTGGACAGCCTATAAAAGTTAACTGGGCATATACTAGTGCTCAGAGAGAGGATACCTCAAGTATGTATATAAGATATCTGAATTTTCTATCTTCTTGTTAGTTTTGCACTTCATTGAGAACTCAATACCGTCTTCTCTGGATTACAGGCCACTTTAACATTTTTGTGGGTGATCTCAGTCCAGAGGTTACAGATGCCACATTGTATGCATGCTTTTCAGTCTACCCTAGCTGCTCGTAAGCTCTATCATTTATAGTCCTGCAAACCCTGACATTCATTTTTCAAAGATATATTGTACTCTCAGATATGACTTTCAAGTTTTTCCTTGCAGAGATGCAAAGGTTATGTGGGATCAAAAATCAGGCCGTTCAAGGGGATTTGGATTTGTTTCCTTCCGTAATCAGCAGGTACTAAGATGGCTTTCATCAACCCTTTGATATTAAGCTTCTTCTCGTGTGCATTCCACCCACAATAGGAAAAGAAGAAAATTAGCAGTGCATACCTTGTGCTTTTCTATGAACCGTGTCAACCTTTTTATCTTTTCTTTTGGAATGTTTTGTGCAGGAGGCGCAAAGTGCAATAAATGAGTTGACTGGTATGAACAAGCTGTCTATTTTTTTTTGATACACTCATTCAACATGGTTTTATATATTGTCTTTAAATTGAATATTGAGAATTTGATTCTTAATAGAGCACTTCACCCACCAGTCTTCTATTGGGGAAAATATTGGTTGCTTACTGCTTGTGTTCTTGTTCTATTTGGGATTCTATATCATAGGACAAACTAAGATTATTGACTTGTTTTCTCGTGTGGGTAGCTTCATTGAAAGACATTCTGTCACTCTCTATGCTGGTCTTTCACTCGCAGAGCTAAGTAGACTGCTGATCATTGCATCTCCTCCAGTCTTCATCTCAATCTAGTCTCATTAGGTTCTCTTCCATGCTATAGTTCAATCTGTTTTTTACTATTTTTGCAGAGTATATATGTAAAGAATGGTGTGTACCAGCCAATTTATATAATTCTCAATGTTTTCGCAATACAAGATTTGGCATTTTCTTTTTCTCCTAGAAATCATTTTCAAATGGATGAGAACTTGGTTTCATGCCACATTGCTGCATCATTTCCTGATTGTTTTATCTCCTAGATTAGTAGGCTTGATCGAAGATAAGGCTGGTTTTCTATCTCATCTAAATAGAGATCTTTTTGGTTCAAAACAAAAGGGAAGTGGTTAGGAAGCAGACAAATCCGCTGCAACTGGGCAACAAAAGGCGCTGGAGGAATTGATGAAAAGCAGAATTCAGATGCGAAAAGTGTTGTTGAGTTGACAAGTGGAACATCAGGTTGGTTTTTCTTAAATTTTATAGTTGCTTCTATTTTCTGCTTGTTGAAACAACACTATACTATCAGTTGTAGTATATCAAGTACCTTTACCAGTCATGTTCTATTCTTGCGTATTGATCCAAGCACATCCATATTCAGTGGTTTATCGTGTTATATGTGTACATTCTTTTGCCAAAGTGATGTAGACTCTGCAACTGATGTGGAGTGCTTACTAGAACTTTTTAGTTGCCTTACTTTTATTTAATTAACTGTCATAATGAAGAATCTTAATGCTATTTATGTTTTTGTCTAGATGATGGTCATGACAAGGCCAATGAAGATGCTCCAGAAAATAGTCCCCAGTATACAACTGTTTATGTTGGCAACCTTTCTCCTGAAGTGAGTATCAGTAACACCTCAGAACTCTGTTATTGAATTTGTAACTAATTGTTGTGGGGATATGTCTCCACCCTCCGTTAGGTCAGCCCCCCAAGTTTTGATCAAATACCTTGTGACAATCTCCTATGTTCCCTGCTATCATATTTGCACATGCTCTCTTCCAGGCAGACATTATCATTCGTGAATAACATGAAATACGTAAGTGGTAAATGTAACTGCTGTATCAGAAGTTCCACTGGTGGAGATATACTTCACAAGCTTTTTAAGCTTCAATTTAAATCTATATTCAAGCAATGGAACTATAGCCCCAGTCCTTGACCGTAGGCATCTGCATGAGTATCAAGTAGCAGTTAGGACGCAAGAGATTTACCGGCCGTAGAGGACTAATATACAGTGGAAGTAGGAAGTAGTTTATTTGCAGTTAATGTTATTGTCTTCAGATATTTTAGTTATGTGTGAGGTTCTCATGTCCATGTGTGTTTCAGGTCACTTTAGTTGACCTCCATCGTCATTTTCATGCTCTTGGAGCTGGCGTTATTGAAGATGTCCGTATTCAACGGGACAAAGGTTTTGGGTTTGTGAGATACAGTACCAATGCTGAAGCTGCTCAAGCTATTCAGTTGGGAAATGCCCAATTCTTCTTTGGTAAACCTATTAAGGTAATGTGTGAAAAATGAGAATTCAACTGTTTTGACTGTGTTTACCTCGACTCCTGTAACACTACCTGGTTTTAATAATCTAAACAAAGTTATTGAACTATAAAGAAATATTTTAGAGTTTGCTTTCCTCAGACTTGTGACTTATCCATTTCTGATGTCTTCAGGCCTGATTGGAGGCAAATTATGTAGACTGGGTACTTGAAGTTCTTTGTTATTTCTTTGGCAGTTAATGAAAATGTTAGTTCAACAGTTTAGAAGCACCGAAGGGAGGGGGGTTATGTATTTCTAGAGCACCTTGTGTGGTCCTATTCCATAGAAGAATATTCATATTTTATTCGTTGTAGAAAGTTAGTTTGATGATTCTGTAGATGATGTTTTGATTTGAAATGTAAAACAACCTAATGTTTGGCATTTGGAGTTGCTGGATGTGGAATATCAAATTCCTAGGGTCGTATGGGCTTTGTCCGAGGTTACTTGTATTCTAATAATACTTGGTAGACGATATTAGCACCACCTGAGCTGGAAGATAGTTTTTCTATGTGAGAACTCTTTTGTCAGCAGAAAAAGGAATAGTGTATGACGATGCAAAAGACGGAAGTGGAAACTTTAGGAGAAGGATTTGACTTGGTCATTATGTAATAACTTGATAAAATGCAAAAGACGATGTGAGGGGATGGAGCTTACGGTCACACAATTGGCTCTTGTTCTTGAGCATGCTAGTAAATTGAAGCAGAGGAGTTGTCTCTAAATGTTTTCATTAGTTAACAGTTGTTTTCTGAGATTTAAATGTAGTCTTCTGCTGTGTCGATAATTTTGTGTTTTCATTACAGTGCTCATGGGGAAGCAAGCCTACTCTGCCAGGAGCAAGTTCTACCCCTCTTCCTCCTCCAGCTGTGGGACACATTCCTGGTATTTCAGTGACTGATATTGCAGCCTATGAGCGGCAGCTTGCTTTGGCTAGGATGGGCGGTTCACAGGCTCTCATGCATTCTCAGGCTCTAATGCATTCCCAGGGTCAGCGAATTGGCGTTGCTAGTCAAGCAATTTACGATGGTGGTTATGGTAGTATTGCTGCTACAACTCAACCACCAATGTACTACTAGTGCATAACAACACCTGCTGCTTCTGCTCTCCCGGCTTTGTTTTATAGGATGCTTTTTCTCGTTAGTTTTTCGTGTCCGAAGCATATGTATGAATATGTAGCTTGTATTTTGTGTGGCAGCTAGTCCGATGGCAGTTCACTTGGATGAGCAGCTTCAGGAGATGTTAGAATGTTTCATGAACTGAAATGTTTTTAAAGGACTTATCGCACAGTGAATCATTCTGCATATATGCATTTTTCTCTTTGTTCTTTATTTGCTAGCATTTGTGAAATGAGTCTTTTGAGTTCAAAGCACAACCTTCGTTGATTACTTTGATGCTGAAAAGGAAGAGGACCATTAGGGTTTTGTTCAAGTAGAGGGACTTGTGACGTGGTTTGAATCTCGTGTCATACAAACTAAGCTTGATATTTAAGTGGAGAAGGGCAGGTTTCATCGTCTCAAAATTTGTGGTGGGTTTTTAGGGTTGGTCCATATGGATTTCTCGTGTGGATTTGTTGGTCATGAAAGAAAAATGGCATATTTTATGTGTTATGTTGTGTGACCTAATGATTATTGAATTTTAAGATTTCAGGTCCAAAATTCAATTCGGATACTATACCATAGTCACAGTAATTAAAAATAAAAATAAATTAAACAATGAACTTGGGGAAGATTTGGTTTTATTCTTTTTGCAAAACTAGTTTTATGTCTTTTTGTTTTAAAGAAAATTTTATTTTTACCTTAGACATTTAAAAAAGATTATTTTCTTCGTGATCGACCATAAGAGATTATTTATATCTTGGGGTGGGGGTTAAAGCGTGGTCATGTTCATATTATAAAAATAAAATTAAAAAAATAATGATTTGTAAGGAAACTTTTTTTTTTTTCATTCCATGGTGTTCTATTAATATATCAAACTTCAAAAGTAATCAGAGTCTTTACAACTAAAACTGAACGTAATAAATTTGAACTAGGTAATAAGACTTGATCAGAATGCTAAATAGGTTTTTTCGTTACTTCCAATTTTTTTTGGTTTTGTGTTAGTTTTATAAAAGATCTTTAATTTTACATATAAAAATTTTGAAAAATAAAAGTTATTTTCCTCTATTTAATTGTAAAGAACATAAATTAGGTTGTCTTAGTACGATCTCACAGATTGTGAAAACATAAATCATCTAAACATTCATAAATCGTCACACACGCATATATATTATCATTTAAATAGTATCACTAATGACAATGCAAATTCATTTAAATAAGATATTGACATAATACATAAATATGTCTTTTTTAACTTTTTTCAAAAAAAATCTATGCCCTCAAACTTTAGGTATATGTAAGTAGACACTTAAATTTAAATAAATTAGTTGAACAAATAAACATACGTATCCTACCTGACATTTTGGGTGAGATATACTCGAACAGTTCAATATTATGCTATGTAAGACGATACATTGTCAAGCAATGTATAGGATATGTGTGTCTAATTGTTCAAATTTTATATAAATTCAAGTGTGTACCTGTTTTAACCCTAAGTTGAAAACTATAGATACAAACCATAAACTTTAACCTTCTGGAGTGGAGTGTAGACCAATCTTATGTGTAAAGAGATGGTGGAAATGGGGGAGGGATTCAAACGACACAAGAATAGATCAAGGTGCTTAAGTCAAATATGCAGATAACTTTACGACTAAAACCCATACGTATACATGCATGATGCATCCAATATATAAACAAATGCCCACGTACAAAGAACACATATAGAGGTAGAGATGCTTTCAATTAAAAGGCAAACCCCACTTCAAAGTCTGGACATGTCAATACAATACATACAAAACTATGTGTTAACATTTCACATGGGGTGAGGCATGGAAAAGATCCAAGAAAACAAAAAAAAAAAGATAAAGAGAAAAAGAATGGGTCAACAAACAATGAAAAGTCACAAAAAACAAAAGGAAGAAGAAAAAAAAAATACTTATGCTATATTATCTTCTTTATTTTATATTTGCTCAACCACTTCCTTTTGTAACGTACCATGTGATCCTAATAAACTAATATAAAGTATTATAAAATGGCCAAAACCCACCCAACAATAAATACATTAATTATAACACGTCTTTTTCTTTCTTGTAATTACCAAGTCTTTTTGTTTAGTGGTAGAAGACTTTTTGGTGAAGTGTGAACAACGTGAGAATAATAAAGTCTTTATGTTTCAACTTTATTTAATTTATAGATCTATATTAAGGCTAATATTATTATTACACCCTACGTTTCATGATAATTGGGGTTGTTTTTATGTTTAGGCACTAGGCACACCTCTTCTCAAGAAAATGAGTAATTATTAGCATAAAGTAAGAAAATATTTCTATTATCTTATTTTTATTTTTTTTAAAAAAGAAGCATTGTCTCAATTTCAATTTATTTATCTGTTTTCGACTTAACACAAAAAATTCAAAAATAAAAAAAATTAAATCTTATGATTTTAAATAAAAAAAAGTGAAGTACATAAAAAATTTCCATTCTTTAATTTTAGATATATCATGTAGAGGATTAGAATTAAAGAATTATCATAAAATAATAGAAATATTATTTTAAAAGTAAAATAAATAAATTAAAACGAAAAATAGTTCTTTAATAATTTTTTGCTTACGTAAAATTGAAAGACAAAAGTTAATATTATCATAGTTTGAAATATTTTTTTTTAAAAAAAAGTCAAAAATGTTACTTTATTTTAAAATTGAGTAAATAATTTTTTATGTATAAAGATGCATGTTCACGCCGACCCAAGTTTGGGAGTAGCAATATTCAAGGCACTAGTGTTTTGTCTGAATAGCCCCTCATCTCCTCTCTCCTTGTATACCATGTGTGAAAATGAATATTCTTGTCGTTTGCGTGTTCGATATAAATTTAATTAGTGTCGAATTTTTTCATATCAGTTATGATCTAAATTTAAAATTTATAATTTGAAAATGAACAATCTCATTTTATATTGAAATTTAAGTATTAAATTTTTTTATATCAGTTATGATTCAAATTTAAAATCTTTAATTTAAAAATGAGTAATCTCAATCATTACACCATATTAATTGATAATTTGCCAAATGAACTACTTTTTCCTACTATGTCTTTTTTTAAAATCTATTTATGATGAATTTTGACCCCATCTATACATAAATTTGTTGACATCAATTATAAAAAGATATAGGCCGCATACCTAAAAGTTTTCTAATGTTGGTAGGAACATAGTTGGACATTTACTTATTTATAGGTTTAGTTATCTCTATGTTTTTGACTATTTGATATTTCTTTATTCGTGTTAAACCATCTCATTCCACGGAAGTGATATGTATGTATTCATTGCGTCTAACTTTTTTTTATTCACGTGATATTTCTTCAAATAAATATATTCTATTTGTTACGACGTAACGTAATTTGACAAAGCATCAAACTTATGAAATAAAATATTTTATTCTATTCTTTATATTTTGAAATTGTATCCTTTTCTTTTTCTTCGGATGAATTTTATTTTGAGTGGATGAGTTTAAGATATTTTTTTAATATAAGAATAATTTGAAAAGAAACGGTGGGGGAGAGAAACAATTGAAAAAATGAATTAAGAATTCAATTTCACGAAGACATAAGTTATTTGTATAAAAATAATATAAATCAATTACAAAAGCTGATAAGTTTTTGAATACTAACATGACACAAAGGAAGAACATTTCTATTTAAAAGTTGGAGTAAATTTATTTTTAAAAAAAATAAATTGATGGAAAGGACATCAACGAGAAGAGAAAGTGCCCCAATGCTTCAACGCATACAAAAAAATAAATATCATCAACGATCGAAAGTGTCCGAACTCTCAAAAGTTGGAAAAAAGAGTTCCAACACAAAAAGAAAATGTGACTTGAAGAGAAAGTGCTCCAATTCTTAGAAGTTGGGATAAAACAATACAACGAGAAAAATATAATTAAAGACTAAACTATTCAAAGATCGAGAATAAAGATGCATTGATAAGTTTTAGTGGATCGATTGTATTACATAAGTTAATTCCTAAAACACGTGAACATTAAATGATGAAAAAGGAAGCGAGACAAGGAAGAATTATATTTATCTTATCATGCTAAACTTAACTCACTTTATCACACTGTATTAAACCTTCCTTTTTTACTTTAATCATGCTCCATCGAGCATTCTTAAAATTTTTTGTGCTTTTTATATTTTCGTTTTTTTAATATTTTACTTTATATATCACTTTTTAAAAATTTTAAATTAGTATTTATTCAATCAAATATTACTATAAAAATTGTCAAGATTTTCTAAAAGTGTGTAAAAATGGAGTTATTAATATTATAATACATATTCAAAAAATAAATAAATAGTACCGTCAATTTGTCAACTCCATATAGTCCAATTTAGTAGGTTAGTCACAATTTATTAAAAAAAAATCAATAAATAACGAATAAATCAAAGTAGAATTAAAAATATAAAAGAAATTTTATGAATTCTACTAAATTAATATTTTTAAAGGATGTTGACTTTAAGGTTCTTCGTTCAATTAAGTCTATTTATATTTTTTTTTAAAAATAAATTATGTTTCTATCTCAATCTCAAGTTAAATATAATTCATCATTTTTTAAAAAAGTTATTCAAATGTATATGAAAAAAGAGTTACATTAAAACAAAATAAATAATAAATATAAAAAGAATAAAATATAAAAATAAAAAGGATAATAAATTTAAAAGAACAGAATATAAAAATAAAAAGAATGTGTCTAATAATTTTTTTTTTCAAAAAAAACTAGTTAAAAAGACGAAATCGAATAAAAGGAAAAGATAATGCCTAAGCTCAAAAGTTTCATTTTCAGAAGCATTGAGAGAACCACTTATCCAATAATCCAAGTTTGTCCTTTGTTTTGAGGGGGTTCATTTAACGGGTATAAATATAAAAATCATAATTTAATTTTATATATATATCGTAATTTTTTGATGAGATGATTCAGACAAGTCCCCCGAGGCTTCACCTAGGTCCACTCTTGTCTCCACTACAATAAAAATGAAATAAATTAAAGATTTAAAACACTAAATCTTGTAAATATACATTAAAGAATTAAATCTGATAAGTTTTTAAAATACTTGAAAAAATTAAAATTAATAGACATATTAAAGCGATCAAGCATAATAGATTTTTAAGTAACTAAAAAATTAAATTTGATAAATATATAGACTATTTATAAATTTTTTTCTCTCTCCTTATTTATGTATATAGTAATTATTTGAATTTTTATAAGCAATACCTTTTTTTGGTTAAAAGTTGATAAGAATCAAATGGAGTTGTAGTAAACTACAAGTCTAGTAGTGCTTTGTTTATACCTTTTGTATTTTCACATGTGTGTTTTTTCCGCGTTGCCATTTTCAAAACCGCGTGCCCTATTATTCTCTCTCTATCACACACCATTCTTTATCCGTACACCCTAACACTGCAAGTATACAAAATATTTTGAATTTAACGTCAATTTTCAAATTAGTAATAATTATAAGTATTTATTTATTTATTTAATTAGTCAAATTTAAATGTACCCCTAATATATTTCTCAATTTATCATTTAATCAAATAAAAAATATTTTTAAGAAGTCAAAAAATAATTTGAGTTTAGGAGCGGATACTTTTTCTAAGCGGTCGTTTGGTATAAAGATAAAAAATGTAGAGATTAGTAATGTAGGAATTGGTAATGCGGAGATTAGTAATACAAGGATTATTTTTATCAAGTGTTTAGTTTATTGTTTTTTACCTAATTTTGTGTGTGGTTTAAATGTCTACAAAAATAATTCAATCCAATTATACTGTAGAGTTATTATGAAATTTTCTATTTCATGTAATTGAGTCAAAGTAGATAATTAGCGAAGAGTATTATTTTTTATAACATTTTTAACTAGCTAGGAGAATAAAATTTTTATTGTCATGTTCACTATTTGTCACTTAAATTATTTAAGAATAAATAATTTTTATCTTAATAAATTGGAGTTAATATCTCAAAAGGTCACAACTATAATGATTTGTAAAGAAAATTTATTGAGATTTGTTTTGTATCAATAAATTTTAAAAAGACTCTTTATCATAATATAAAATAAATCTAGCAAAATAAATTAAACTATTTTTATACTCGAGATGTGTGTCTATATATATATATACACACTCTTGTTTTAGAGTACTTGTGTAATGTTTAATGGACTTTCGTTAAGAGATAATATTTTACTTGTGAATTATTCAGAAATTCATACACCAACATTAGCATATTAATCAGATTATAATATTTTATATTAATAATAAATAAATTAAATAACTCATATTTTGAAAATAATAAAATTTGTAAGCTAATTTATTTAAATAAATTTATTAATATAAATATAAAATATAAAATATAAAATGCAAAATCAAAATAAATTTTTTTTTATTAAAAAGATTTTTTGAGGAGTATTTTGCTGTTTATCTAGAATAATCTCATGGTATTTGAGCTAATGCCATCAAATGGAAGGATATTAGTGTGCGCCCTCTAATATCATAGGGTGTCCTAAATTAATAATACACAGACCCAAAATTCCTATCAAACATAATATTAAATAATATCACACATAATAGTTTGAACTATTTATTACGACCCTTTGATACCATAAATAAGGGAGGGACTGGTTCATTGTCGCTTTACTTTAATTTCGCTTGCTAAAACATGTCACTGATAGTGGGTTCCAGTTAAAACAAGAGTTTCATGTTGGTGGGTTATCATTTTTTTAAGAAAAAGCAAAATTATCATCTACTACTACTTGTTATCCTTAATAAGTAAAATGAAATTTTAATTAGGACGAATAATTCAACAATAGTTTGATACTCTCCTCTATTTGAATTTTTTTAAAAAATTAATAAAAACTTATGTAGCGGAGAAGATGAGGCAAAAAAAGATGAAAATTTGGTGAACAACATATTCATTCATACGCCAACATCATCTAAATCTATTGCCTATTTAGTCTTTGGTCTCTTAATATTCGGATGAAAGCAAAGCGAAGATAACATTTCATTACACATGAAAAACTTGAGAGAACAACCATATTTGGTTTTAATTACAGTAAAGTAGTAATAATAATAATAGTCAGATCTAAGTATGGGGGGTTCAATGAGAGTTGAAGCCAGGATTAAACTTGTAGTAATTGATTATCTAGGCTTCTTTCTACCAAGCAATTAAAGCCAAAAACGGTAAACTAGTATTGCTCAGTTTTCACTGCAAATTGACCACCCAATCCCAGCCATGGCGCCTTGTGTTCTTCCTTTTTAGGAGCTGCTGCTTCCTCTCTATGGTAAGGTACTTTTGCAGTTAGCCTATCTTTTCTCTTCTCCAAAAACCTTGTTAATGAAGCTCTTCTCGCAATAGGTAAATCTGCAAAGACGAAAATCTCATAAATAGAAGTCGAAACAGAAACAAGCAAGGACAGAGACTCAAAAGGGGAAAACTATTACCAGAAACAATTGGCTGGTTAGGCATTTGATTTTCCTGGATGGAAGTTTTTCCGAAACTCGGAACCACCAAATCGGCAGCAGATTCCAATGGTTTAGCAGGATTGTTTCCCTTGCTAGTACTAGCCATAAGCATGATTTCCTTAGCTTTATCAGCCGGAAAATCATTAAACACAATAACTTGACCTCCATAGAATATCGTCATCTGTGCCTTTTCCGGTTCCGACTCAGCCTTCATTCCACCTTGAGGGAACAGATTCATCGATTTCTGAACCAACTCACCAGATTTCTCAATCATCGGCAACAAATCCATAGTAGTAGAACCTGTTGAAACACAACTCATATACATGTTATACAACTCCAAAAAAAAAAAATACTAGCAAAATTATCATACCAGCTGAATCGAAATTGCGATGCATATCAAGGCTGAGATCTCCCAAAGAACCTTTCTTCTCTTTCAAGTATTGACTCAACAAGTTACATGTATGAGAGAAATGCGATTTCTGACCGGCAAATCTCCCGGAATCCACAATCTCCGATGAAGCCATTTGTAATAGTAGTATTTTTTGAATGAAAAATGAAAAGTAAAGTTGAAGGATTATGGTCTAAAGCACATGTATGTGTATATATATATGGACTGTTTGTATGAAACACGGAAGAGGACGTGGGGTTAGAGAAGTGGGGGTGGGGTTGGTTGAGCACGAGGAATATATGGAGACCTTTAAATTACTTTATTTTAAAAAAGACGTGCTCTTTGTTGTTTCATCATTCTCCACTTGCTATTTTTTATTTTATATTTTCGAAAAATATCTTAAATTATTTATAATTTTAAAAATATTTATTTATTTTATTAATTAAATTTAATTATATTTTTAATTTATCACACGATATAATAAATGGTGTCAAAATTTTATATGACATGTAAATTTTAATAAAAATAATAAAAGAGGTGTTGAAAATATATTTAAACTTAACGAGAATTTAAAAATATATTTCGCATATAATAGAATTAGTATATGTTTAAGTTCAATTAGTAAATAATTATTTATAATACTGTCAATAATTTAGAAATTAAAGTAACAATTTTCATCTAATTTAGAGATGTTATAAGTTTTTTTTTATTATTATTATTTATTTTTGGTACTATTTTACTCTTTTATTTATTAGTGCATTTGGTTCTTTCTTAAATTATTTTTTTAATAAATAAAATAGAAGGGTATGCGCATGTCGAACACGTGTTGATTTCACTAAAGAAAGCGGTGTCGGAATTTACCTGTTGTTTTGAACCCACACAACACTACCCCTTATTCTCTGCTTATTTACGCCGTTTTGCCCTTGTTATCTACGTTAACTTTTTCTCCTCTTTTATATCCGTTTTCTTTTGCACTCATTCATTTATTATTTTTTCATTTCCTTTTATATGACAATATTTCGTTAGATATGGAGTTTAAGTAATAAATGAAGACTTTAAAATATTTTTTAAATTATTTTTATAAAGTAAATTTATTTTTCTTACTTCTCATAAATGAATTTGAATATTATTTTAAAATTAAATAGAATTAATAAGATAAAAAAGAAATTATACCTTTAAATATTTACCATATAAAAAAATATGACATTTTTTTTTAAATTGATAAAAAAAAATAATGTGACGGCAAAGTATTACATTTACGTAGAACAATGATATTAAGCTATTAATAGTTATATGAAAATCCAGTTTGTTTTTTGTTTTATTATTTTATAAGCATTTGGAGTTTATCAATTTTAAAGAATATGTAAAAAAAAAAATGGTTATCCTATTCATATCATCATTTTGCCAACGAATTCATAGGTAATGACGATGATGAAACCACTAACGAGATCTTACGTTCATCATCATTGAAGTGTTAGTTTTGTCATTGAAGTGTTAGTTTTGTTATTAAGCTGAAGATGTTGAAACCACTCTCAATAAAGCTTAAAGCATTTACTTAAAATAATAATTAATAATATAAGTAAAAATTAATGACGACAAAAAATAATGGTGTTATCGAGTCCATCAATGCGATCAAAGTATAAAAATATTTAATTGTACAAAAGAAGAAGAAATAGTTTAGAAATTTCGTTGTTCTAGATTGAAAGGAAATCTCTTTATATATAGACAAAAGGTAGTGTGAATAGATGTTTATTGTTCATTATCAGAAAGGTCACACCATTTTGAAAAAGTTCAACCCTTCAAAAAGGTGACAAACTTTCATAAAAGTCACAATTTTTCATGAAACTCACTACTCTTCATATTTCATTTACACATTTTAAAATCCAACAATCGCGGCCCGTATAAATGGGAAATGACTCTAAGACAAAGAAACGATGAACTGTGTACTTTACAAGCAAAGATCAATTATATCTAGATAAGTAGGTCTCCTCTTTGAACTTTCTAAACATATGTCGAATGTACTCTCTCAATCAACAAATTTGATATCTTTGAACTGTTGAACTTTATTGTATACCTAGACAACTATATTTACATAATCAGCGCTTTACTGTTTATGATTCTTACAGTTGTGTTCGTTTCATCGATGAACACTTTCTAATTTTGTGAGAGTATAGAGGAAGGATTTTTTGCCAATAGTTTTCTTTGAACCGATTTACACTTCATACTTATATATGTGATTTCTAACTGTGTTATCGCGTAGATAAGCTATTTCATCAAATCTGTCAAACTTAGCAAATCATAAGAAAATTTTAAGCTTTATCAACAAGTTAATAAATCTTAATATTTTATATTTGTTCCTAACACATGAGGATGGATTAAGTTGTTTGACGATTTCGAACCTCCAGAGTTCAGATATAACTTTGTTTTCTCTTTGAACCTAACTCTTGGGATTTCTTGTTTTCTAGGTAGAGTTACCGCCATGATGATTCGTCTTAAGCCTTAAATTCATCCTCTTAGATGATCTTTCAACTGTCTTTCTATCTAGGCCTTCTGTTATTGGATCAGACACATTATCCTTAGACATACACATAGTTAATTGAAACACTAGAGAGTGGTTGTCTTGCGATAACATGTCATCGTCGTATGTGGCGAGATTCTTTTGTTGTATATGACGCCTTCTTCTTACCTATTGCTGCTGAATATCACAATATGTGTATATAGGGCTCACTATTTTGAGTCAGAATGAATTGTTTTCTAAGAAATTCTGAAGCGATCTATCTTCTTACCGTTCTTATCTAGAGCGATAAATTCAAATTCTATTATAGAGCAAAAATACATATCCATTTGGACGATTTTCAAAAGACTGCTCCTCCATGGTAAATACACACCCACTTGTGAATGTCACTTTATTTTTTTGAATGATCCAGTTTGCAATCACTATATCTTTCAATCGCACTAGCTAGTATATTTATTATAATGCAAAACATAATATTGTGTATATTTCGAATACCCTAAAACCCACCTCATTGTCTACAATGATTTTGGTTAGGATTACTAGTGAACTGACTCAATTTCCTAATAACACATACTATATTCGATCATGTACAATTCATAATACACATCAGACTTCTCAACACTCTTCAGTAGTTTAATTGAAAATCACTTTCATCTTTATTCTTTGAAATGAAAACTTCCATCAATTGAAGTCTTGTTATTTTTTAACTTCAAATACTTGAACTTGTTTAATACTCTTAAATATAATGAGATTGTGATAATGTTAGATCTTGTGGAGTTTCGTGAATTCTGGTTCCTAAGATCAAATTAACAACTCTCAAGTTCTTCATATCAAATTTGCTGGACAACATGTATTTTGTAACATTTATATCGTCAATATCTTTATTCATTATTAACATATCATCAATTTATAGACAAACAATTCGCAGTGTTTTTAACAGATACGCATTTATCACACTTGTTGATATTAAATTCATTTGTTAACATAGTTTGATCAAATGTAGCATGATTTATTTGGATGCTTGTTTAAATCAATGAAGTGTCTTAACATTTACACACTTTCTTTTATCAAGAATTACAAACCCCTCTCACTATTTCATATAAATTTCTTTCCAAACTCTTCATAAGAATCTTGTCTTAATATCTATCGATAGATTTCAAGATCACGTACAATCATTAGTGTCACTAACATCCAAATAGATATTATCCTTATTACTATAGAGTGTGTATCAAAGTAATCAATATTTTAGTCCAATAAACACACAATCTATTGTTTTTAGTCCAATAAATACACAACTTGTTGTTTTTGGTGAATAAAAAACGACAGGCTTGTTGTGCGCAGCATATCTAATGAATACACAATCTGTTATTTTTATTCCAATTTTAACCCTTTTGAATAAAAAAAAACTTGTATCTTTGCTAATCACTTTCACATTTTGAAATACTGTAGGTTGAATTTTTTTAGTTTATTTTTAAAAATTATAAATTATCGCACATTAATTTTGTAAAATGACAAATATTAAGGACTATCTATTTTCAAGGTTTGTTAACTTTGATCTTATTAATTTAACATAATGAACGTTGATATTTTAAAAAAAATATTTTGTACTCCATGTGAATTTTATTATTTATTCGAGAATTTCAATTCACTTAACATTTTTTAAGTTTAGCTTATCATACAAGTGAAAAAATATTTGATTTTTTTCAAATACCGAATAGTTGTAAAATATTCCGAAAAAAATAAAATAGACTAAGGTTGAAATCGAAAAAACAGACTTCAAATGATTTTATTTAATTTTTAGAGTAATAGACTGATATAATTGGTTTTTCTTTTTGGATGAAAAATCAAATCAAATCGATCTTTGTACATTCCTAGGAAAGAGTACAATATTTTTTTGGAAAAGAGTAAAAAATACCCATCAATTTTGTTTTATAGGTTGACTATACCGTTATCGTTAAAACAAAGTTATTCTTACCCCTACAGTTACTAATTTCATCATTTGTTACCCGTCAATTAGATTGAAAGCTCCAAATCAACTTAAATTAACTTAATTTCACCAAATTATCTATTTTAACCATAACCAAACTCGATTCACAATACTACAATAACAAATACTCCATCTATCTCAATTTATATGAAATTTTCGTTTTTTGAGAATCAAATAACTTAAGTTCGATCGAGAATTTACATAAGAAATTTTTAAAAAATTAAATATATATAATATTTTTGAATCACGTAAAAAATATTTATAAATTATGATATTTAATAATTTTTAAAATAATTAAAAAAAGTTATAATTAAAAATAAATTTATTTAAATCACAAAATTTAAAAAATATCACGTAAAATAAGACGGGAGAAAGTAACAAGAAACCCCTAGTGATTGGGTGTGAATGCCGGCTTGAATTAAAGAGAAGCTTGCACATGCTCTCATCCTTGTACACGTGGCGTCAGCATCCTGCGTTCGATTGGTGAAAAACAAGCCATTGTTTTCTCGTGACACTGACGCTCTGCACCATCTGATTTCCCCCCTATTTCACATTTCTCCTCATTTCCTTTTAGAAGTCTATTTTTGAAAAGTGTATTAAAAATGCAGGGTTATGAGATTTAAAATTATTATTTATATAAAATTATAAGATAAAAGTAAAAGTAAAAGTTTGTGTTTAGGTATGCAATTTGAACATTTATATTGTTTATATTTTTTTTAAAAAATTAATAAATTATAAGTTATCTCAATTTTTTAATATAATTTTACCTTAATAAATA